TGGGGGGGGGGGGCGGTTACCCACTGCCTGGGGAGGTAATATACCACCTAATGGGGATTTAGTATTAGCTGTAGCAACTACGGGGTCTTGGAACGTTCCTGGAGAGCCCAGGGACTAATCGAATCTGGAAGTCACGATGGCCAGAATTACTGTGGTGAGGCTTGGATTTGCCAGGGGAGATTGCAAGTGTCCAGCTGTTCTGTGCTTCACATGTTGCTTCTGTTGTGCCTTATGCTTGCTGCTTTGCTGCAATTTATACTGTTTTTTTTCCTCTCATCTCTGGCCTTGCTCCTAGCACTGAGGTGCACTTTTCCTTCCCAGGCCATCAGTGTTCCCTTGCCCACCTCCACCAAGAAGCTCAAAGCTCACCCATAGGAAAGGTTTCTAATGCCATCCATCATGAATATCCATAATCCACTTTTTATTCAGTGTCTCGATGAATTTAAGTCTGCACCGTTGCCCAGATTCTCCCAACCAAGAGTATCCGGTTAAAAGCATGACTTGTTGGCTGGGTGTACCATGACCCATGTTGCCATCACTCATCAGGGGTTCTCAACTGACACGTATCCCCGAAGTTACCACTATGCTTGATAGCGATAATGTGTGTGGCACACTAGCCCTTGGTCATTGACAACGTGCATCCACAGCCTTGCAGAACGTATAGCATGGTTAATAGCTGGTCTTCCTAATTGTGTAAGGAAATTATTAGGCGAAGCAATACATTAACCATATAATGTTTTGGAAGGGTGCTGGGTGGCAGTCATAATTTCTGCTGCTACAGTGTGTTTAAAAAGGACAATAAAGTAGGCTCTTTTTGTTGGAAAAGAAGATTTCTTGTTATCTGTGTTTGCAGGCTTTCTGGCTCATATGCTGGAGGAATCCTTGCTGCGGGGGTGTTTTCATTTTCTCGTCTAACATGGCAGTGGTCCATTGCGGCAGAGGTTTTTAGCTTAAACAATCTGTTTGTGGGGCTGCTTCTGGCTCTTACTGTACATTTTGAGGAGGCCTCCACTGCGGGAGAGAGAGCAAAGGTAACCTGTTTTGAACAACACGCACTATTCTTTTGTTTTTGATATTATCTATCGTATTTGGGTTGTAGATTTTTTTTTTTTCCTTTTAAGTTTGATTTAAATAGAAAGTTCCAGTGTTTTAGAAGTGCTCGGCATCCCTTTTCCGTGCAAGCTGCCGAGTGCTGAGCACATCTGAAAACCTGGCTGCTCTAGTGAGGTGCAAAGCTCTTGTATCTGGCCCAATAGTCAGGTGTCAAAATGGAAGCTATTAAGTGCTGTTCAGAGAGCAAGGTGGGAAAGTGATTTGGGGTGAAAAATCCCATTTTTGTTGAAATGCTCTGCAGAGAAGTTAGACTTTGCATAGAAAATTTTTTGTTTTTAATCTCCCCATCCCCCCCAAGCCAAGAGGTGTTATTTTCTGTGAGAAACAAAGACTGTCTACAGAATATTTTAATGTAATCAAATTCAGCATTCCATTGAAACAGATTCAGTGAGGCCTTTTCCCCAGCTCTAGGACTGGGCTTGCATTTCACATTGCATGAGAAGATAATACATTCAAATCATTTTTAAGAACTTGTGTTTTCTTTTTACCGATCCCATGGATGTGAAAATAGTCTAGAATTTCTGGAGATTTTTTTCTTTTGCCTAAATATCACTAAGAACATTTCCCCGCTCCCTGTCCTGCTTATTACTTGACCCCTGAACTCCAGAATACTGGGTGCGTCTACACGTGCGCTTTGCTGTGCATTAGACTAATGTGCAGTAAAGCATCACCATCTATGTGTGCCGCAATTAGTGCGTGGTAGATTAATTTACTCCGGTGTAGGATAGTCCTGTCAGACATGGGTACTGTCCTACACTGCAGTAAATTACTGCACTTAAATGCACATGTGGACAACAATTTTAGGATTAGTTTACTCTGGCTTAAACTGAGCCAGTGTATATTCAGTCGCATTTATTGCATGTGTAGATGCACCTGCTGTGGCTTAACATTTTCAAAGTTACGGTTTGTGATTTGTGATGGGAATCACAGCCAGGATGTTTGTGACAGTGATGGGTGACTTTCAGTTGCGTCAGGTTTTCGGATATCTTTGTACATCTGAAAGTGTTTTGTATTTAAGAGGTACAATTTAAGAGGCTCCTTAAGGAGCCTAATTTTTTTTTTCAAAGGCATCTAGACACTTAGCTTGCCCCAACTGAACAGTCCCTTTTGATTGTCTGGATCCCAAAGGCCTGTCTGAAGGTCTTTGTATGTAGTTGTGAAATGGTGTGATTTTTGGTAGTTGGGAAGTCGTATTCAGTGTAAAATGTCAGGCTATCAATATTATTTCCCACATCAATATCCTGCATGGATATGGTGAAGGATGAATATTCATGTGAGTGAAGGATGAATATTCATATTTCACGTATCTGACACTAACTGGCTAGCAAAGGAAGCAGAGCTCTGGCTACAGTGTCAGCATGAAAGTACCCAAGTAGCAAGAAAACCAAAGGACTTGCCCTGCCAGAGCTGAACGGCGGAAGATATATGGGCAGATCCTCAGCTGATGTAAATTGCTTTTGCTCATTTGACTGTAGCAATGGTCTGGGCTTAGGCTGGCGTTCTAGACCAGGGGTGTTAAACATGGCCCACAGTTCACTAGACTGACCCCTTGTCCCAGCCCCAGCCCTGTGAGCTGTGTGCAGTACATAGACTGCAAGTAGCACTGGGGGTCAATTGTGGACTCCTCATGCAAAGCTATTGCTATCCCACCTTTGTTTATATTGTCTAGAGATAGTGTAAAAGTTGATGCTATTGATGCGGAATATGAACTTTATTAAAAATGTCTTAAATAGTTTTTATATAAAACATGTGGCATACCCATAAATGCACTAAAATAGTAGCATTTTCTATGACAATATAAAGTGTTTAATACCAGTAGTATAGCTGCATTTCATTATAAGATGACCAGAGATCATATTGATGTTGTTTCCATTGTATGTATATTTTTTCCCGACTTCTAAGAATAATTGCACTTTACTTTCTTTGTTTCAGATAGCTAGAGCTGGTGCCTTTTGCTGTGGGCTTAGTTTGTGCAATCAGCACACCATAGTGTTTTACGTGCTGTGCATTGTACCGTGGGTTCTGTTGCAGCTTTTCAAAGAGATGGTAAGTGCCTTAACTACTCCTGACTGACAATAGTCAAGTGGGCCATTTTTCTAGTGTGTTTTTTAAGGGCATATTGTAACTCCAAATTATTGCTTTCTCTCTTGATGCTCTTTTTTGTATTGATTTATAATGTATGCATAGTGATAATCTATACTGAGAGAGGTTTTGATTGATGAGTTTAGACATCATAAAATTAGAATCCATTAGTCTGATCTCATTGGTATGGGCTGGTTTGTTTGTTTTTTAAAGGACTTGGAAGGTTTCAGTATCATGAGTATTGAAGAGCTGTCCATTTTATTCAGTAGACTTCTTGGGGCACGGTACCTGTGTTTTAACTGCCAAAAGAACACCTTGTGTACCACAGTGAGGGTTACGGGAGTCCTCAGTTGGGTGCATCTATTGTACATGGGAAATAAATGCAACACAATGAACTGTTTCAGCGTTTAAGCCCAAGTAAACTGCTTCCAGGCACAGCATCTATATGTGTGCTCAGGACAGCAGCAATTTAAACCAGGGCAGAGCAAGCCTGGGCTAGCACCAGGCAGTAAGTGGAGCAAACCCTTGGCTGGCTGGTCTGACCGTGTGCAATTTATGCCCCCAGTCACAGTCTACACATGCATTCCAGCACAGTTAATTATTGTGCCATAAAGTAGTGCCGTCTCTGACAGTACTATGTTACAGCTAAGTTAATTAGTTTACTGTGCCCTAATACTGGTGCATGTGTAGACTGTGACACCTTTACTGTGGAGCTAATTAGTCAGCTCCACAGTAAAGCATGTGTGTAGATGCATCCAGCGTATGGAAATGAGAGCATATTCAATAATCTTCGTCTAAACACAAAAAAGTTAAAAAGTGCTGGTGGCTGTTGTTCAGTAAAGAGTTAAGGGTTAACAAGCAGCGTGGGCTCCACCTCTCACAGCTTCTGGCCAGTGATGGCAGCAATGTGCAAATCCAGATCCTTTGAAGTCACAAAATTTGTCTTCATATGGTTAATGGTGGTAGTGAACAAGAACCGCATCCCCATTATGTGGACTCTCTGCAGCTTTGGAAACAATTAGCTGCCTAGGACTCATCACTTAAGTGCCTCCAAGTCATTCCTCTCCAAATATCCTCTTCAATGAGAGCTATGAGGCTCTTTAGCCTGGAAAAGTGCAGCCTTAGAGGTGATCTGATGGCCACCAAAAGTTTATCAGGGGTGACCGTCAGTATCTGCAAGAACATTTGTTCTACCAGAGCGCCCCAAGGGATGATGAGGTCAAACGGTCATAAACTCCTGCAAGATCATTTCAGGCTGGACATAAGGAAGAATTTCTTTACTGTCCGAGCCCCCAAGGTCTGGAACAGGCTGCTGCCGGAGGTCGTTCAAGCACCTACATTGAACACCTTCAAGAGTAAATTGGATGCTTATCCTGCTGGGATCCTATGACCCCAGCTGACTTCCTGCCCTTCGGGCAGGGGGCTGGACTTGATCTTCCGAGGTCTCTTCCAACCCCAACATCTGTGAAATCTGTGAAATATCTGTCTGGCATTGGATGGCAAAGCTGTAAGGTGCTATGGAGTCTGGTCATCAGCACACTAATTTCACCATAGTTCATATCTCAAGGATGTCACAGGCTTAGAAGAAATTAGCTTTCAGATGAAGAGGAGCTGGCTCAAACTCAGCCTGAATCAAAGTAAAGCAAGCAAAAGACTGTCTTCTCTTTCCATCAAAGTCTCCAGTCCTCTGTGTGTCAAAGTGATGTGAGCTCACAGTTCTGTCATACTCATCACTAAGTTTAAACAATTTAGTAGCATCATTGGTGCAAACCATTGTTTTCCTCACGTCCAGCTTGCAAGGAAAATGTGACTTCCTTCTTCGAGATCCAGCTGCAGATCAAACATTCATCACTTCTAGACTGGATTACTGTAGTTCATGGGCTCTGGCTGGGGCAAATGCAGTGCAAAAGACATCAGCTCCTGTAAATGTGCCCGCCCATGTTAATATGGTGTAGATTATGGAGCACATTGCCACTGTGCCTTTGATCTCTTCAGCAGCTACCAGTCTGTGCCCACTGTTTGCTGTTTGACGGGTCAGGCCTCAGTTGTGTCAAAGACCATTTGTTTAACCAGTCTGTGATCCAGTAAATAGGCTTTGCATCTTTAGGACAGTACAACTTATAAAGCCCCGGGTGAGGTGAATATGAACTATCATCTAAGTATATTTACCAGAAACAGTCCCTTTTAACCAGAGAAGAGGAGGAAGAGTGCTCCATGGATCCCAGTAGAAGGAATAGCATGCAGATGTAACATATTGTAGGAATACTTTTGATATTCCATAGTTGTGCACTACAGAAAACCATGATAGTCTAGTTTCTCAATTTTAATAAAACATCCTCCAAGATAACTTTTTCATTCTGGAGGGCCTTAAGCTACCAACCTTTAAGCCTATCTTTCTATTTGTGGAAACTGATTTTTGAAGATTGTCTTTTCAAGATAAACCCAAACACTAAAGGAAACAGTGTTGATTGATTGAGCTGCTAATGACAAACCGAGCATGAAATATTCTCAGGTAGGATTTGCAAAAGCACTTAAAGTTATAAACAGGAGTCCCTTTGAAAATCTTGCGTGCCTACCTTCTTTAGGCAGTTGTGAAAATCCCACTCCAAAAGTTATCTGAAGCAATTTAGCCAGTGTAATCATGATAAAGTAAATGGCAGAACCAACTCCTGATCATGGTGAAGATGCAAGCAGCTATATTGGAGCAGCAGTTTTTGCCAGATGGAGTACTAGCCAACACTTAATCACTGCAAAGTGGGTTATCTCAGCCTTGCAGTGCCTTAGCCATCTATGCATGTCATGACATGATTTAAATGTAAAAGATGCAATGAATATGATACTTATGAGTCCTAGCTAATATTATTTGCTTCACTTAAATTCCACCCTGCCATGCAAAGGAGATCAGTTTGATGCAGTTTCCTCATAATCCACAAAATCGTAAGGTTTAACATAGCATTTTGTAGGGACTTACTATAAATTGAGAGATCAGCTCTACGTAAATATATTTGATGTTTTTCTTTATCTGTTCTTGAAGTTCCAGCATGATTAAACTGAAATAAACATTGTTATGCAACCTGACACACTTTTGGTGCAGGAATTGTCCCTAGGCCATTTGCTGAAGTTGGGTTTCTGCTTCTTGGCTGGTTTGCTGCCTTATCTCTATCTGCCTGTTTCATCCTACCTCAATCGTGCACGATGGACCTGGGGAGACCAGACGACTTTTAAAGGATTTTTGACCCACTTTCTCAGAGAAGAATATGGGACGTTCAATCTGGTAAATGGGGTCACTTTCTAAACTAATAATAGTAGTTTTGAAATAATATGAAAATGAACTTGTTGTATTCATTATGGTCAACATCCAGCAGGGACAGTGACTGGAAAAGTTGCCTTTTTTATGTACTAATCTGTGAGGTACAAATGCAGTGGGCTATTGCACCGAGAACTGAAAAATAGGAGGTTACCAAGTACACTTTTAAATTATCCTCCTCTGAAGTCAAAGTCTTGGGCTTTTCTTTTTTGATTTCAAGCTTTGGCAAAGCAGAAGTGTTGAAATGTGTCAAGCTGTTGTCTTTGTTCAGAAGATGTACTTCTCATGTTGTTCTTGGTATAAATATTAACTCAAATTGAAAGAGTTTTCTGGTTGCTGACCTCTTCCCCAGTCTGAAACATTTTGACTCCTGAAAATGTAGAGGGTGGCTTGTACTCATCAGAGTTTCAGGGGTTGGCCACTCTGCTCCCATTTTGACCTGTAGCAGCACAAATTGAACAATTGTTTAGCTTCCCTGCCCTGCCTGCCTTCCTCCATCAAAAAAAGAGGGAAGTAGGAAATGCCACCCAGAGGCAAGGCAGGGGAAAGCTCATGGCATAGCTGGGAAGTCTGGTGTTCTGGACCCACAACTGGCTGTGTAGAAAAGGTGAACATAAGCACTAACTACATCGCAGAGTTTTGATGCCAGCACAGTCGCACCTATAGCCCTTCATTGCATCCCAATCAAAGAGTTTGCTCATTCCTGTTTGAAGCAGTTGATTCCCCAAATCTCCTGAAGAGGTAGGAAGAGAGAAGCAGCTTTGAGGCTATTTTCGAGCCGTTCCGCTGGCAACCATCTTTGGAAAATCAGTCCTCTTTAGGACACCCTAAAATGGAGGCATGCCAGTTAGCTAATCGCTTCTGAAAATCTTGGCCTGAGATGCCCTTGCCTCCTCCCTTCCCTCTCTCCCATCCATGTTGATTTAAAAAGGTTAATGGATAGGTCCAGAACCATTGCAGTAAACTCTGTGGCCTGGCAATGACTCTAGTATACGTTGTTGACTTGGGATTTACTCAAAATGTTATATTCCCTGATTCCCAGGAGGAAGGGCAGGAGCTTGCTAAGGTGAACACACCTGTAAGCCAAAGCTCTGTGTTCGGACTCCAGCAAAGCTAAAGACTGGCCCCACCTGCACATAGAGAAGCTCTCTCTAAAACAGCAGCGTGTAGCCTGGATGTGGGGGAGTGAGAAATCCTTTCTTCAGCATGGTTATAGCTGGGCTTCACTCCATCCAGAAATAGGCCCAAGGGGCAAGATGCATCCCACCTACCATGCACGTGAAAGTGAGAAGCCCATGTTATGCTAGGACCCAGGGCACCAGCTGCTCAGGATTTGAAGCTCGCCAGAGGCAAGCAAACAGTTAAGGAATGTGTTTGAGGTCAGGGTTTAACTGCCTGCAGGTGAGAGCATAGTCAGGCTGTCACCCAGGTCTCCAGCATCAACAGGAGCACATGCTGATCCAACCGGACACAACGAGCGCAGCCATTGTCAACGCCCGAGTGGGAATCGAGGCTCTTTCCTTGCATTATCAGTGCAGATGCTCCTGTGAGCCTGACTGTCTTGTACTTTGACCTCTATCAGATGACCCACATAAAAGGGGTACTGAGTATACAACTGGACAGGAGGGTTGTTGGACTCAAAAATATCCCACTTGATATCCAGGGATTTAGGCTATCCCCATAGACCCAATATATACAGTCAACGGGTAAAAGGCAAGGCTCTTTTCCACAGCAAAGAGACCAAAGATTGCTTCCCTATGCCTTTGCATTTCTTCCAGTATTAGGAGGAGTATTTGTAGGCAACACCTATCATTTCTTTTTCTCACAAAATCATCCAGAAACTCTATAGATGCCAGACACTGTGGAAATCACCAAGACCTCTAAAGCACCTTCCCAGTCATTAAGCTGTCCTATACTTAGGAGAAGGGAGTTCCCAGGAGATAACCTGCTCCTGTACTAGACTATCTGTCACTGGTAGATGACATCTCTTTCCCTTTGTGTTTGCTCTTCTTAATGACATATTTTGTAATCATCCTCACGTTAGCAAGAAGAGTTTCTAGAATCTGCGCTCATGGAAGACATGAACCTGGAGGCTAATTTCATGAAGATGAATCCTCCAGAGAAATGTTTTACCTAAGTTTAACTTTTTTTTTCCCCATACCTTTTAGAGCATCTTACTTGCTTCCCTTATACAATAGCATTCAGTGTCCAAAGGAAAGTACCTGGTGCATGCTAGAAGAAAAAGGACCTGCTACAGTTGATTTTATTACTAGCACTAGCCACTTCAGGCATGTGTTTTCATCCTCCTGCCCCCCCCATCCGAAATGCATGGGGCTGAAAATGTGCAAATCTTCCACAACTGTGTAGATCCAGCTCTGTGCCCTGAATAAATATTCATTTCTGTATAACTTTGTTCTGTAGAGAGGAGCTTCACTCACCCAGCACATTCCACTTCATTATTCTGAGCCACCCAAGAAGAAACCTGCAATGCTACCGATTGATCATCCAGGAACATCTTTTATAGGTCACAAGAGGTTTGATTTCTTAGCCTCACCAGCAGCAGCCTTCAGCAGAAAGCTATTACAAGCAGAAGCGCTGGAATAAACATTGCTAATCATAAGGAAGAGGAGATTTTCCCCCCCCCATTTGTGCTTATTTCTCCCACACTTTTTCTTGTTCTTGCTTCTCACTGTGGTGTGAATGTCTCTGATAGGGGCAGGATCTAGAAATGAGAATCTATTAAGTGGTAACTTTCCTTTGTGGAATTGATCTCTTCTCTACTGTGCTCCAGACTTAAATCCTTCTGACACCTCTACCACAGCCTCTTTCCTGATCCATGCATATGGTTAACACAGCTAAATTAGAATATCCCCAATAAGAATGAACTGTTCTTTGGTACTAGGACTTGCATGCCTCTATAGATGGCTTTGCATTCAGGCGGCTTGAGGACAGAAGGAGTGTGAACAAGTGTAAACTGCTACAGTACTTTCAGGAAGAGCAGGGCAGTCTAAATATCTCATTTTGGTCAGAGGCATAAGTCCTAGTAAAGAAATCCAGACTTCTCAATTTTGACTGATATTTTATTCTGTGAATGACTCTGTGATGTGGGAACACAACACCAGTCTGTCTCTCGCACGCATCATCAGGGCAGTCTCCAAGCAAATGCTGGGTACCCATGCATATTTGTCAGTGAATATTGTGTTAAACTGTGTGGCATACTTGGAGTAGGCAGAAAAAAATGTGCTGTAGTATTTGAAATGAAGAGCGCCCTCATGCTGCATGCAACATATTGCATGATGTTATAACTGGGTTTTAAAATGAAACATAGGCCAGGAGTCAGCGAGGTTCTTGGTCCAAGTGCCAAAAACACCTATAACCTCTTCTTGTAAAATGTTGGCATGCCAGAGGCAGAGGAGCTGCAAGGGGCCTGATCCTTGTTATGGCAGCACAGCCCTGGCCCCTTTCCCACTGTCTGCTCCAAGGTGCATGCCGAGCAATACCTTTTTGTGCGCTCTGACGCCTGTGCTGGAAATTGGCTATCCCTTATGTAGGCTATTGGGAAGTGATGCATGGTAAAATGTCAGCTATGGTTTTGTCTTTGACAGAAAAGTAACTTGGTTGCTGTCATGTGCATTATAACTTATGATCTTGCATGTAGGCATGGGTGGATCTATGATTTTGAAAGGGGGGGGCAAATGGTGTGGCACATCATCACATGTAACAGAACACACATTTTTCTCCAGTTGAAGAGAAACTAGAAGCCCTACTAATATGATACAGAGCTAGCGCTGTATTATTCAGTTTAAGATGAAAGTCAAAAGCAAGCATAAGTATTGGAATATGCAGTAATTTGCTTAAGTGTATATAAAGTTAAAATAAAATAAAAACAGCAAACTAGCCAAACCATAATCAAAGGATATTGTATTATTACTCCTGCAGTCATTATAGTTAAATTTGCATCTCTTACTCAGATTCATGCAACAAAATCTAGCCTTCTTGAGCATTGTGATAGTACCTCGAGTGCTTCACTGTTGATCCTTTCTACAGCTGAGATATTATTGCCACACCTGAATTAATGTTTTTAGGCTGAGCTAAAAGAAGTCTTCAGGGCTGTGAAATAGGAGAGCGACATTACCAGCAATGACTAACAGACAGCCAAATTGCAGAAGAAAGGATAGTTTGAATAGTGGAACATCCGTACCATTAAAAAAAGAGAGGGTCATTATCACTTGTGGAGTGGAGAGAGATTAGAAGGAATTGGAGAGATGATAATGAGCAACGGAGTCAGTGAATTCTCTTGGCATTACATGAATGGAAATGTCGGTGCTCCTCCCAGGCAGTTGCCTTTGAGGTGAGTGGAGCAAAAATTGAAGGGGGTGGAACTGCACCATTGCATCCTTTCCCCCTCTTCCCACCCCAGATCCTCCCCTGCCTCTAAGCACCAGCTGGGGCTCCTTTTTCCTGGGCACCGTGCCCCCGGAATAAAAAGACAAACAGCATACAGCCTGCTTTTTAAGTGCAAAGTTGCCTGACTGTGTCCTTTTTTGCATTCAGGCCAAATCTGAGACGGGATCCAGTATGCAAGAAATGCTGCTGTGAGTACAAACTTGAGCTCCTGCCCATAGCTGTATGGTTTGGATGTCACCCCCCCCCCCTTTCCCTGTGCTGCTGAGGCTGTTCAGGTCACAGCTTCTGTGGGGGACCTCTGGGACATATGCAGGCAGCCACATTGACCTGCAGGTCTGGGCCCATCTTTGGCCTTTGGATGAAATGCGTTTTGTTTTGTGCATGCAAACCACGATTTGGGGATGAAACATACTTCATTTCTCCGCAGCTTTCAACTGACGCACATGAAGGCAGAGCTGTCCTGGACTGTCCAGGCCCTGGCAGTTGTTGCATGTGTATGTGCAGCAATGCAGTAAGTCAGAGCAAAATATGCTCTAATTTGTTTTTATTTAGCGATGGACTGATGGCTTGAAGACATGTGGCATAAAACCTTTTTAGTCACAGGGCACACTTTTCAGAAATGTGCAGTTGCTGTTTCTTAGGCCCCAGCCAGGCGTTACCCTTGAGAGGTCGTTAACCAATGAATTGAGTCTTAGAGTAACCTGACCCCATGGGTAGGGGATTAATGGTGATTAAATAAAACAAGAAACCTGCCACAAAGTTGTTGCACAAAATATCTGCAATTAGCTTTGTGGCTGGTTTCCATCATGTCTTAAATTGAATGTGTGGCCAGTGGGGTCCACGCTGACTGACGATCAGAGAGTTGTCTGCATGATCAGGACTGCACTGGGCAGCCCTGGTGTGGTCCCGATCCTGTCAAAGATCAGCTGGTCAGGTGTGCTCTGGGGCTTGAATCCTAGGGTCCTGATCTGATCATTAGCTGATTGAGGGTACTTCAAGCCTCGAACCAGAAGGCGTTCCTGATCTGCCAATCATCAGCTGATTGTTGGTCGACTCCAGGGATCATATAGGACTCAAACCAGCCCATGGGACAATCAGCTGATTGTCCGGCACCTTGCCAGGACAGCCCAGTATAATGTTCCCTGGCTTCCCCTACACTGGCAAGTATGGCACGACTGGGATCTGATCCCTGATCCCAAAATCACATGTCCTGCCATGCATGTGTGGAATAGCAAGAGTCACAATTGTTGGGATCACAGATTAAATCCCATCACACCTTCAAACGAAGGTCTGTCAACAGCCTTAGAGACCAAATGTACTTTTCTTTTCCTGCCAGCCCAGCGAGTCTTCTAGGTGATAAACTTAAAGGGCTAGATTCAAGTCCACCAGTTACATGCACGAGTGGACTTAGGTGACTAAATCTGCTTAGATGGCTAATAAGTGGAACAGAATCTGCCCCTAAATGTTTTATGTGTAGTTCTGCAATCCCTACATTTGGCTGTACCCTATGAAAATACAAAACTTGGATCTTTCTCTCTCTGGTTTTTCAAGTTTAATACAATTTCTTTTTTGTCTCCTTTTAATCATGTTCAGCAGCATGCTGTGTTGTTTCTTACAGGACTAAGCAGGAGAAGTCCTCAATGATATGGCTGTTTACGGGCATGCTCTGTATTTATTCGTTATTCTTTGCTTGGAGAGCCAATTTGGATATTACAAAACCACTGTTTATGGGTGTGGTAAGTTTCATTTTAAAAATTGCTACAGTCCAATCCTTAAGACGGTGCCTCTTTCATCCTGGCTTTGGCCATTCTCGCCTCTCTCGATTCCATCTGAGGACGCAGGTTTTAGACAGTGCATAGAGCCCAGAATTATAAATACAAAGCGCATTTCCTTATAAATAGGTGCAGTAGGAGTGCAGTGGTGCCTTGAAATGCATGCTTTTAAAGTGGGGTGTGACTTGTATTTTAAAAAAAAATGTAAAAATCCTTGTTTGTTCCTCATCCTTAATCTCTGTCTGTCCTTAAACTGTTAGCTCCTCAGAGCAGAGACCGTCCTGT